ATGGAGGAAACAAAAAAAAAAAAGAACGCGGCGTGTTTGGACGATCGAGCGGTGGACGGGCGGAAGTTGGTCTCATCGACGAGCGGAAGGTGGAACGCATCGGGGGCCGCGGCAGGACCGAAGGAGGGAATATTACAGGAGCTTTGTCGGGCAATTTCCAGAACGATTTCCGCATTTAGGTTGGAAGAAGTGGTTCTCTCTCACCTGTGCGCCTCGAAGCACGGCTAGACGGGCCTCTCTCTGCTCCAGGAGGCGCCTTTGCTGGGCAATTTCCCGCTGTTGCCTGGCTGCCATGCTTTCAAGCTCGCTGAGCACCAGCACAGCACCACCCCCGCCCACTGGTAACTGAAACAGGATTAAGAGTACATCAGGAAAAGCGGTTACAAATATCTGCACCGGGAAAGCTTTTCGCCCACCCGCGGCCATCTTCTTCGTATCGACAAATTTTTTTCGCCAACGGATTCGCCAATAGATACTTGAAAATTTAATCGAAAAAAAAATAAGAAAAGAAAATTCGACGCATCGTTCATTCGTAAATGTTCCTCCCTTGGTATTCTTTTATTTAGTTAATTAAGAACCAAGCTTTTTAATGAGCGCAGGAATATGACGATTTCCGCAGTTGATAGATAGAATTCGTTCCGTATTTTTTAGAAGAGGAACACCAATTGTTCCTCCGTTGAATCTTTGTACGAGAGAAATAACAAGCGCCATTAGTCTCTAGACATCGGATAGTTCGATTTCGAATTTCTTAAATACCAACGATCCAATTCCACATCCTCGTGAGTCCTCCAACTTTAACCTACCGATGCTTCCTCACCTTCGGATCCTATCTCGATTCGACGCGACGATGCCACGATAATCGAGGTTATACAATAAAATCTCGGTATGTCGCGGAAGGTAAATCCTTCTAAATGTCAGCCTGCCATTTCGCAAAACGACCACGAACTCGTCGGAGAAGAAGAAGAAGAAGAAGAAGAAGAAGAAGAAGAAGAAGAAGAAGAAGAAGAAGAAGAAGAAGAAGAAGAAGATGATGATGATGAAGAAGGAGAGGAGGAAAAGCTGGAAGGATTACGCGATTTCGCGGAGCGGCAGAAACAAATGGAAAAACGGAAGGAGGCTGGGTCCGGGGAGAGGCGTAACGCGGCGGAGAAAAGAAAAAGCGAGACGAGGAGTGGTAGGTCCGGACTGGAGGAGAGTTCTTTTTGCTTGACCTCGTGCACCATCTGGAGAGGACCGGCCTCCGATACCAAGTAGAATCCCAAGGTCGACTTGGCCCTTCGAATTCCACACACCGAGACAAGGACTCTTGGTAACCTTCGTACGTCAACGAAAACGAGCCGAGCGTGTCTGTTACCGATAATCGCACTCGCTGTATTCTCGTCTATGCCTTCCATCTACCACGTTTCTTAATAACTTTTTATTCTTTTTAAATCGGAGAATATGGATTAAGTACGATTCGTAAATTATGATTTTTTTCTTTTCTTTCTTTTTTTTTTTTTCGACGAAGAAGAAAGGCGAGACTGAAATTCCATTCGATCGTTCGTGATTCCAAGATTTCGCGTCGCGGTTACGCGGTTTCGAGAACTCTTTCTCTCGAGTCGTGCGATTAAACGTCTTCTGAAACTAAATTACACGCGCTCTATTCCATTCGAATCTCTCTCTCTCTCTTTCTCTCCTCGACGAACGAAAACTTGGTTGCTCGGATAAAATTTTCCCTCCCTCCGATCGGATCGGACAAATTGAAGCGAAAGTGGAGCGGCGAGACGTGGCTAACCCAGATCACGTCCAATAAAACCATGTTTCCTAATCAAAATTCAAACGCTCGTTTATCTCTCCGTTTATCTACCGAGATTGATGCGAATCCCTCTCGAAAAAGGGAATTTCAAATATCGCTGTGATACAGGCGGTTTTAAAAAATTAATCCGAATGAAATTTTCTTTTTACTCGAATCGTAGAAATTCCACCGCAATGAATTCGGTTGGCGCGGATTCGACGCTTGTTGAGATGTACATACACATGTATTAAGATTAAGGCTCGATTTCCAAGTAGCCAGATCGATGGGAAATCAACTGATTGAATAAGGAAAGACACGAGGGGGGCATACGAGTCGGGTTCAGTCCCTCCTGCGTTTCGAGCAACGTTCATGTTCGAGACATGATTAAACCGGCGAGAAGCCGGCTATTAGCGCTCGAATTGATCGACATCGAGCGCGATTTCGAGGTTCCAAACCTCGTGTGTACCCTCTACTGCCTCTCCCCTTCCTCCTCGCTTTACCTCGCTTAACCCGTCGCGAGAAAATGGCGGAACGGTTCTCGTTCATCTCCTTCGAGGTTTGGGGAGGAGAGGAAGAGAGTTAATCTTTAATGCAAAGGATCGCGAGTGAAGAAAATCGAGGAAACTTTTCTAACGCTCGTTAACCACGACGATTCAATTTTCTCGATCCCCACCCCCTACACCCCCTCCCGTTAATTCCAATTCGATTACTTTGCACTTTGATAACCGTGAAAAGTTTATCCCTCCCGTTCCCAGAGATCTTCTTCCCGGCACTACTTGCTCCGTTTTCACATCCCATCGATATCGAGATCAACTCGATTATCGCGAGTATCTCGAACATCTATCTCCGCTTTACACGGAGAAACGGAACGCAATGAAAATATTCAATGCAAATTTAAACGTGAATTTAACGTTAAATGATATCTCTTTTATATTTAAATACCACCTTTCCCCCTCTTCCGGAACAATCTAATTTACACCGGTCGTTCTCGGATTTTCCGGTTAAATAGCTTGAAAAAGGGAGAAGAGGAAGAAGAGGAGGAAGAGGAAGAAGAAGGAAAAAAATGAAACGGAGATTATGAAGCGCAATAACTAACTCGCGATAAAGGTAACGGGAGGGTGAATAAATATTAAACATCCTTCCAGGGTGTTGCGAGGGAGAGATTTTTCATTTCGAAGCCGCGAAATTTTCCCTCGCGTTCCCAACCGATACCGCCGCCTCGTAAATAGACACAAGCGCGGTCACTGATCCAAGGAAAGGGTGGAGAGAATTCCTCTCCCTCTCTCTCTCTCTCTCCCGATCGAAGAAAGGTGGCGTGCCTTCGAGCACAGTACCGCGTTTTTCGCGCGCGTGAAACTCGAACAAGTGCGATTCGAGGAGACACGCGATGCGACTGCCCTGTTATTATCCTGTACGCTCGCAGAGAAACCCTCCCTCCCCTCCCCCGAGCCATCCGCCAGATGTACATTGCGTATTCCGCGAGTGCCAGAAAAAATCTCGCAGATTTTGCTCATTTTTTCGGCGTCAACTCTTCTCCTCGAGTTGATTTAATGCCAGGTTGCCTCTCGATGGACGAAAGAATATTTTTATTACCTTTGGAATGCGTGGACGAGGAGTTTCGAGGATGTTGCTGCAAGTTCCATAGTTGCAAGTCACGTAATTATTTAGAAGTGAAAGCGGGGAACCTCGGGTGTATTAATAGTTCGATCACACGGCTCATCAGACCCATTTTCGTTCGAGTCACGAACAACTTCATTTTCCATTATATCCCGTACAGAGAGGATCTCGCGTCCTCTGTGTATCCACAGGACGGACAGCAAATGTTATCTCCTCGAAAAGCGGGGAGAGATTCTCGTGGTTGGGCAGGGGGAGGGGAGTAATATCCGAGGGAAATCGATACGTAAGCGTGATTAAAAGGCAGGAAAAACCAAACCGAGTTTATGAATGATGACCGTTCGAGGGATGAACTTTTGAACGGTCATTCGAACCTCGTTACCTTCATCAACGCCAACTCGCACTTTTCCACCCGCGAAACTTTCCGTTTCTTCCTCGTTTCCTCTCCTCTCCTCCTTCATTTTCCTTCGCCCGCCATTTTCCTATCCCTATCTTCGTCCATACCCGCTCTATACGGTGTCTTTAAACTCTTTACGGTGTCTCGAATCTCTTCGAACCTCGTCGCGCTACGCGGCGCGTAAATTTCTCCTCTGCTTCCTCGTTGCTCGTGTAGCGAAGTAAAAAAAATCCTATTTTTATGCGGCCTCCCTCGTTAATCTTCTCACAACGCTTCATCTCTTTCCGAGATTATGAGGGCAACGTAGTAATTTTCGCAACGATTTCGATAAAAATCGATCGTTTCCCACGATTCGAAACGAAAGAAACGCGTATCTTCCGTTTTCCATTTCCTCAAAGGAGTTTTTCTTTACGAACAAAAAAGTCTTTGGATATATTCGCGAATAATTTTCGGTCGGATCGGTCCTTTGGCATCGAAGAATTCTCTCTCGTGTCGCTGCTTCTTCGACACTCGATATTACATTCTTCGAACGCGTCTCCATCCTTTTCTCGTTCCCTCGTTTACGAAACGTAGAGACCGAATATAAAGATAAATAATAATACGTCAAGAAAGGAATCAAGAATCGAGAACAATTAACGAGAGCGAGGGGAATCCGTTAACCGCGTTAAATGGATGAGATTCCCTTCTTCCGATCCATGTCGCGAGTTAATGCTTCCTTATCTTGTTGATTATCTCGCAATAGAGAAAGAGAGAGAGAGAGAATTTTCTCAGAGAAGGAATTTCGGGTGGAACATCGAGCGGTGGAAGAGGGTTTGGAGTAAAAACATGGCCGGAAACGAAAGCGGCCGAGCATTACACAGGTAAGCTTCTCCGAACGGCATGTTGACCTTTCTCATTTCGGCCCGAGGCCCCGTGTTAAACGCTCTGTTCTGCAATCACGCGGTGTAACGGGTGGCTTCGAGAACTCCAGTCCCCGTTTTCCTTCTCTCCACTCCCGGAGAAACCTCTTCGACCGAACCAATTGCCCCATTTCGAGGCGAGGCGAACAGTCCCGGGGAATATAAATTCAACTTGTCTACTAGAGTTGGCAAACGTTGGAGAGGAGACGGAATAAAACCGAACGCGCCACCGTTACGTGGATAGGTAGGAAATAAAACCGGGATACGACGAGGATATATCTCGCCTTGTTTGTTATTTCGAGGGAAGGGAGAAAAAGAAATCTGCTCGAAAGTCAAGTTTCGACCGCGTAATGGCTACGTAATGGCTACGTTTGTCGGATCGGCCAAGGTTCAAACGCATCGTTGAGCAACAGCCTCGATTCGAGGAAATGGTGGTGCTCGTAGGAGATAAAAAAAAAAGAGGCAGGAAGGGGGGATTGTGCATGGAAAAACGATTCGACCGGTTATCGTGCGTTTCGAACGCTGCATCGAACGGCTGTATCGTCGCACGCTCTTTCAAAAGCGTTTGTCCGAATCACAATCGGGCAAAAAACGGGATCGCGTGGAATACGCGGTAAAACGGAAATACGACTCTTTCGACAACTTCCCGAACGTTGAACGGTTTCTAGCACACACAGAGAGAGAGAATACAACAAAACGATCTTGCGTATCAAGATGAATTTTTCTTCGCGCAATTGAAAGAGATTTTTTTTAAACAGATAATACGCGATAATAGTTCAACGAACGAGCGGCGAACAAATTTTGGGAAGCCCAATTCGGCGATAATTCCGAGGTGGATAATTAAGGAAATTCGCGGACGGATGGAGGAGCGCGCTTTGCCAAGGGAACGCCGATAAATACCGAGGAGAATTTCATCGAAATAATCCCCGCGGGCCAATCCCGGCCGCGCACGCCTTACAAAGTTATCTCGCGACAGTTTAAGTGGCCGTAACTATTATTTACTCGATCAACTAACGCGTACTGAACTATGCCGCCTCTTCTCTTCTCCTCCCCTCGCCTTTTATCGCGAGGAAGGTATCGATAAACGGTCGATTTATTTCGCGGTAAGAGGACCAAACCTTCTCTCCACGGAGGATTTGAAAATGGCGGCGAGCGAGGTAAGAATCCAGATCTCGCGCGTGCTTAACGAGAATCGTCCCTTCTTTTCTCTCCTAACTTTTCTTGGCTTTTGTCTTTTAAGTAAAAGCGTATCGGAATAAAACGCGATAAAACGTTAGAGGAAGGGGATGAATTGTCGTACGTCGACAATTTTTCCATCGTGCAACGATACATAGAGGGGACACGCGTGGAAGGAAGGGAGAAAGAAGGTGAAATTCGAAGGGACGTTACGAAGAGAGGGAAGCTTACCTCGTTCTCGAGCTTAGGGGCGGTGTCGTTGCATTCCGGCTGCTTGCCATCCGCCAGTTTCTCCTTCACAGACAGCAACTTTGGCTTTCTCTTCGATCGTCCGTGCCGGAGCTTCACCGTCACGGCTTTCGACTTGAAGTTCTCCGCCGGATAGACGCACGCCAGCATCGTGCCTCGCCACGGTTTCGCGATTATTTTCGTTCGATTCGTCCTCGACAGAGCGTGGCTATCCTCCAAACTATCCTCCCCCTTCTCTTTTTCTCTTTTTCTTTCCCCTCTCAACTATATCCTCGACAACTCGGCTCACCCTCCTTTTCTACCACCAACGACAAAGAGTGGAGGGGTGGGTTTTCTCGTCCCGTCTGCAGCTT